GACGGTCGTGAGGAAGAGGCTTTTTCCTTCTGAGGTACAGTTTTGGAAGTTTTCGCCATTGATTTGGAAGGAAAGAGTGCAAAGGAAGAAATAGACAGCACCAAAATTCTGGTATGAACGGCCCCGTAGCAGCAAAGCAGAGAGGATAAATAGGAAAATCTGGAAGAAGAGAAGGCGCAAAAATGGTAAAAGTTGTGTGGAAAGATTATTTATAGACTAAGGCCTGACGGTTCAGTATCAACGGTGGCCGACCACCGTCTGACACACATTAAATGTCTCGGTAAAACCGAGCCGATGGGACAGCCATCACATACGTCGAGATCGGGTTCGATGGAAAAGTCGGCATAAATTTGTCCGAGCCGCAGGGAAATCATATCGTTCCTCGCCACATCCTTTCCGAGAAACGAGGGGACTATCTGTGTACGGTCAAAACTGATTCTCAGTCATAAAGACCGGTCGAGACAATGGCATTTCAATTGAAGGATATCCGCATGGCGAGCTCGGACGAATTCCGAAGTAGAGACGTCGAGTTTCGAGCTATAAGACCAATCAACCGCAAAACTCGATTTCATTATCGAGCCCGCATCCGAATTGGACTACGGGGTAACGATGACCGACACATGCCCCGCATATCGATGCTCCAAGGCAGAACCGAGCTCGAACTAAGAGTGGGGATTCGATCTAGCACCAAGCTCGAGTCAGTGCCGAGCTCGCAGACAAAAGCTATTACTACCGCACCAAGGGAGAGAATCTTGGCGAGAATCAAGGGAAAGACAAACCATCATGGGTTCTTCACTATATATATTATTTTATGTTATTACAAATGAAGTAATGACCCTCTATTATAAAAGGGGAGATAGACTGCAATAGGGAGGGGATATTAAGATTTCATTGTGCTTGTTCTTCTAAAATTTTCCAGTCTTCCCTTCCATCATTTTTCATTTTCACAGCAAAAATACCTATATCGTCATTTTATATCAAAAAAATTTACATACACTTAGAATCATATCTAAATTTAACGTTATCTGATTTTTCAGATAAACAAGTTTCTCTCTCGATTCCCTCTCTTCTTCTTCATTCCTGCTTTGCAGGTGATAACTGTGTGTTTGGTTCTAGAAGTTCATCCGTTGACAGTTCTAAATGTCTAATTTTTCTGAACTTCAATAATTTCTTTCTCCATCCTACTCCTTGGTTGAAAGAGAAACATAGTTGATATTTCAAGTACCGATGCTAAAGTAGTTTTTTTCCTTGGTTGAAAGAGAAACATAGTTGATATTTCAAGTACCGATGCTAAAGTAGTTTTTTTCCTTGGTTGAAAGAGAAACATAGTTGATATTTCAAGTACCGATGCTAAAGTAGTTTTTTTCCTTGGTTGAAAGAGAAACATAGTTGATATTTCAAGTACCGATGCTAAAGTAGTTTTTTCCCCTTCTTTCTATATTTTCACTCACTTTCTCAGTCCAAATATACTTGTCCATAATACTTAAAATAGATGTCCATTGTACTTGTCCAATTTAAAAAACTAATAAAAAATTTATCATTTTCTATGTATTTTACCCTTCTTATTAAGTACTATTTATTTTTAATTTATTTTCCAACATATAATAAATATAAGAGTGATATAATAAAATTATCATGTTATTTATTATTTTTTAAGGAGTGTCAAATTAATAGTGGACAAGTAAACTTAGAGAGAGTACTTATTTAGAAAGTTTTAGAAACCCAATATTGTAGTATTTAATTTCAATATTAGTTTTTTTTTCACGGTCTCTTCTGTGACACAAACACTTGTAAAACGAGCCCCTTCAATATATCGATAATATGTGAATTATCAGTCTCTATATCAGTCTCTGATCTCAGCACTGAAAGTGTAACTCAATAGTATATCAAGGCGAATAGATTATTCAGAGTTAATTAATGTCTGAAATAAGTATCTTTACCAGATTTAAATTGTAAATTCATTATATTACTTGATTCTCGGCATTTCTGGGGTCGCTCTAAATATCATTCTTTTTTCCATGACCTGACACAGTCACACAATATTGTCTTTGTTCGGACAAGAATTAATGTACCATGTGTTCAGACTTCAGTAGAGAACAAAATGGAAAAGTGAAACAGGATAACTTCTTCCAAGTCATTTCTTTTTAGTCTCCCTGGTTGACCTCAAGTCAAGATTAGGTTCTATCATAATTTTACTTAAACAAATAAGACCACGAGCAAAACTTAATCTTCAGATTTGGAAATGTAATTCTGAATTGCAAACATTTTCCATTATTGGTTTTGGGTATTAATGGATATGCATAATAATGTTTCTTTTTATCAAGAAAAGAGAGACTATCTGTAAATAAGAAATGCTCAAAATAATGTTGTATACAGAATTATTTTCTTTTGTCTAGACTTGTTAAGCTTTAACGAAAATCTTGCGAGATGCTCCTCTTAATATTTCTTCTGTTGTGGTAAGTTGTTTTTATATTTTTTAGGTTGTTAATCCTATTTCTTATTGGTAATTAATTATTTTTTGTTATTTTTAACATGATTGATAGCAGAAATGTTTTAATACTATCATGTATATATATATATATATATATATATATATATATAGAAGTTGAACTTTCTAATATAACCTTATAAGGGTCAATTTACAAGAGTGAAAGCGAGACCAGATTTACAAAATGATAAACGAAATGCTCAATTAAAACATAAGTATTTTTATTTTATTTTATAAACACAAGTAATGTTGTGCATATTAACCTAAGGAACCAATATCAACCGTGTGGTTGAACAATTCAAATGACGCAAGATATCCTATAAATCAGTACTCTTTCTTTTCTTTTTTGTTTTCTACTTAGAGCACAACATGTGGGCCTACATATGTACGCAACTAGCAAAAGGACCCACCAAGTTTCCAGTTCTGTTTCTATCATAGGAACTTTAGTTACATACAAGTTGCGTGATATGTTTTTATTTGAAGTCATTTCTAGTGAGTTTTTGATATATAAAGTTGTTAATAAGTTTTTTATAATCGATTCTCTAGCTAATAGTTCACGTTCAATTGATAATATAACCAACTCATTTAATTTTTCTTGAGATATTGTTGATCTTAGATAAGATTTTACAGAACAATATAATTATAAAATTATTGGAAACTTAAAAGTATTGTTGAACACTTGAATTAAGGAAATTTTTGAAAAAGATGGTGAGTAAGAATATCAAAGAGAAAGACTGAAAATATGTAAGATTTTTTGAAATATGAAAAGATTAGAAAAAAGAAAGATTGACTTGGATAAATTAAGGAAGATATCAAATTTTTTAATGAAGGAGTAAAAAGTAGAAAACTGAAATGTTGGGAAAATTATTCATCTACCCATTTTAAGTAAGTCAAATTATTAACTTATTTATATATCTAAATTTTTTTTCTTTTATATTAAAAACTCTATTTTTATATTAAAAATACTAAATATTATTTTTGAAATATTTATGAACTTATTATTTTTTAAAAATGGCCCCCCCTAAATTTGGGGCCCAACGCACCAACTTTGGAGCCGGCCATGAGTTTCATTCCTCCGTAATGCCGCTCGCAATCATTGTCATTTTCTGTGGAATATTTCACAAATGCTGTCGGACTACTGTCTCAATCTAAAAGTGAGTTTAGATATTAAATTATTGTAAGTTTAAGATTTTACCTCTTCTTGCAAGTTGATATTCTTTTACTCATTCCGTCCCAACTTACCTAAGGTGTTTGATTCGACGCGAAATTTAAGAAAAAAAAATATATTTTTGAATCTTTGTAGTATAAAACAAGTCATTGATATTTGGGTGACTATAAATCATCTCGTTAAAGGTAAAATAAAAAGTTTGAAGTTATATTGTTTCTAAATAAGGAAGTATGACATTCTTTTTGGGATATACTAAAAAAGATAGTATGACACATAACTTTAAGTTATTGACTTATAATATATAAATATATAATGCATGTTAAATTTGAAAAGTATAATGTATACACACATAAAAGAAATATATTTAGGAACTTGTGTCAGTAAAGGGTATTTCTGTCAGTGGTGGATGTAGCTTATTAGGCACGGGTGCAATCAAACGCCGTACTTCAATGCATAATCATGATATATATGTTAAAAATTACTACTAAATATGACATTCTTAGCTCAAAATTCGGAAAGTCTAACAAATGCAATAATAAGAACTTTAAAGGTTGAATCGCTTAAATAGTACAAATGTTAGGCCTATATAAGAGGCTGAAGCTGATGGCTTAATTTATGAAGTCACTAAAGGAGGTGACTTGTGGTAGTGCAAGCATACTTACAAATTACAATTACCAATCATAAAAAAATTTGGAGAAATCATTCAACAACAGTCACATAAGAAAATGTCCTTACCAGAGCTTGAGCTCCCTGGCTTCCGTTTTCATCCCACTGCTGAAGAACTCATCAACTTCTACCTCAAAAGGATTATCAAAGACAAAAAACTTGACTCCAATGTCATTGCCTTTGTCAACATATATCTCCACGATCCTTGGGAGTTACCTGGTTAGTAACACAGTTCCTTCCCCCCCTCCTATTCTTTCTTTCTGTAATTATTTTATTAATGATTTGATCGTGTAAATATAATTCACACAGTCAAAAACTCATTAACATATTGCAAAACCTTGATATAGGGGCGAATAAGTTTCTGACTTGATATAGGGGCGAATAAGTTTCTGATTCCAAATCAAAAGAAATTGGTACAGCAAAATATGGACCTGGAATTATTGAACTAATCAAGTCAGTTGCATAGTGAAGTCCCTATTTACATGTTTAAGTTTAGCCATCAGTAATTGCAAATATTGAACTTCATTATTTGAAACATTGGTAAAATATTATAATAAACTTTATAATTGTTTGAACTCAGACAACTTCAACTTTCTTTTTTTATTATGTAATATTCATACCCAAAGACAATTCAAAGTACTTCATCTCAACTTCAACTATACTCTTTATTTCAGCTTCAACTAGATATTATCTAAACGCCCACTTAAGTGTCAGAATATAACAATTAGTGTTTCTACGTGCCACTTTTAGCACATTTTTACTTACCTTTGCTACTTTTTTTTTTTTTTTTTGGAAGTAGGATTGGCAAGAATTGGGGAAAGAGAGTGGTATTTTTTTGTACCAATAAACAGGAAACATGGTCCTAAAGGGAAGCCCAACAGAACCACAAGAAATGGTTTCTGGAAGGCAACTGGTTCTGATTGCCAAATTCGTTCAACATTAGACCCAAAGAAGGTTATTGGGCTCAAGAAGACTTTGGTTTTCTATGTTGGAAGGGCACCTAAAGGGTGCAGAACTGATTGGGTCATGAACGAGTACAGACTTCCTGATGGCCACCCCTTACCTAAGGTACTTTGGCTTTAACTTATATATATTATTTAACTTGTTATAATAGGTAATCTCCAAGTTATTGATCCCATCTTTTAAATTATCTGATGGTACAAAACAGTCACTATATAGAAGTTAAAGTCAATATTTTTCAATTTAATTGAATATAGCAGGTAAATACTATATCTTCCAGGTTACCACATATATTAGAATTGTTATGAAGAGATACATATTATTGTAGGTCAGCTACTTAACATGTCGATGTAAAAAATCTGTTAGGGTACAAAATTTAAAATCTTTCGCAATATAATGTTATGCCTCCGTTGTGCCTTGTCATTCAGATTTAACTCTTGCGTGATGTTTTCATCTCTCTTGTACTTATTTTCGTTGGAGCTTTTTCTTTTATCAATTTTCTTGATATAAGTTTGAAAGAATCCGGGGCAGTTTTTTTCAAGCTTCAAAATCGTGCATTGTGCAAAGAATGCATGTATTTTAATTTCTACATTCTGGTTCACATGAAAACTCTTATTTTACCGAAAATTTTAGCTTGTTATATGACAACTCCCTCCCAATCCAGTCCTTCCACTCTGATCTTCATCTTTTCCTTTTCTAGTTCATATTCTTTGTGACAGCGAATTCAGAATACTTGTACTATGAAAGGTTAAATAGAGAACTATTCAGAACTTTATTAACATGCTACACCAGGGGCAGATGTAGAATTTGAGATAAGGGGATGTAAGAGATGCTAAAATATCACAATTTGGAGATGAAATGATGACCTAAAACAGTTTTTGAACACTTTTTCCCACTATGCTATAAACTATTCTAACTTTAACGGGATCCAACAATCAGTATATAAACATAAAGAAAAAAGATCACCTATGCGCAATATAATTTTCCCACAAAGGGGATACAATTATTAATTCTAGGACCAATGTCCAAACCCCCACTCAGCTAGACAAGACTCGTTTATTTTGTCACTATCACATTTAAGGAACTCAGATTTTGTAAATTTTAAATTGGATGCAGGATCATGACATAGTACTTTGCAAAGTTTACAGAAAGGCAACCTCCTTTAAAGTATTGGAGCAAAGGGCAATAGCTGAAGAACATGCAGCAAAAAGACACCCAACATCTACACAATCAGATGACAATCTTGGTCCTTTGTTCCCACAAGAAGACTTGGAATCATCAGCCTCACATAATCTTATCTCTTTCAGAAGCTTACAAGAAGAAAATCATAACACCGCGATTAAGCTACCTCAATTATCTGCTTCAAATCCATTTTTAGAGCCACCCAAGTTTAGCATTGACTCATTATCAAGTCCCCTCTGGACTGAAATACAGAGCACAGGGCAAGACTTGTGGAGTCTATTTTCTTTATCTTGAAGAGATCAATTCCTTACCCTTTTAATTTAAGCTTAGAATGATATACTTCAAGATGAAAGTCTTTTCAGGACTTTTTATAGTTACATGTTTGATGTCGGAATAAGTAAGTTGTCTCTTTCATAGTGGAAATTATGATTGTAGTCTGACAGTTTTAACTCTATAGCTGTTTAGGCTAATAAGTCATTATTAGGAATCTTGATGTAAATTACCTTCCCCTTTCTTTGGTTTATGATGACTTCTTTATGCAGTCAAATAGCCCATCAACGCCAGAAAAAAATTGCGAGGTTCAACCATGATTGATGCATCTAATTTTTATGTAAATTCGGGGGTCAATTTATTAATTTTAAAAACTTGTGAATTCAACCATGACTGATGCATCTAATTGCCGTCTCTGTTTTCCTGCTCAGTTTTTTAAAAGACGTTTTCGGGGCGAGACGTATCAAAAATACCTCAAGGAGATGGTGTGGGGCGAAAGTTTACGCCCAACAATTCGGAACGTACGTCCGGGCGTTTGAGGCGCGTTTTTGTAGTAAGGCGCCCCATAAACTTTTTCAAATTAAAATAAATTTTTTAAAATAAGTCCTTCATATAATACCTAAAATCTCAAAAGTAACGTGTAATTACTCAAAAGTTTTAAAAAAAAGTGAAATGTATTAAATTTAAAAATCAAGACAATTTTTATTGATTGAAGTCCTAATTTATGGTCTTTCCTAATTCTTTATCTTGTCTGCTAGTCTGCTAATATCTCCCAAAAGGAACGATTTTTTTTTTTTTTTTACAAATGCAAAGAGAACTCCATTCTCCTTCATAGCAACAAGTTCAAAATTCAAATTGTAGGTTAGTCATCCTTTTTGTTCCTCCATGTAGAAAACTTTATTCTTTTTGACTCAAGTTACTTGTGCTTGTAAGTAGTGTATAATAGATTGTTTTGACTAGTTTTTTGTGAGGATGGAGCGCGCGCGCGCGCGCGCGCACACACACACA